ATAAATAAATAAATAAATAAATATAAAAATAAATAAATAAATAAATATAAAAATAAATAAATAAAAGTATAAAAATAAATGAAAAAAGTATAAAAATAAATGAATTAAATATAAAATTAACTTAAAAATATAAAAAATAAATTTTAAAAATAAAAGAATTTCTGCAAAAATATATATAAATGAAAAAATATAAAAATAAATGAAAAAAATATAAAAAAGAAAATATATAAAAATAATTTTTAAAAATATAAAAAATAAATGAACAAAATAAATAAATGAAAAAATAGCAAAAAAAGGGAAAAATAGTAAAATAAAAGGAAACAAATATAATAAATAAAAATATATACAAATAATTAAAAAATGCTATAAAAAATAAATGAAAAAAATATTTAAAAAGTTTTTTAAAAATATATTAAAAAATTACTACTTATACTAACGGCTTACTTATTATCTGCATATTATTATGATATTGTAGGTTTATTAGTATCCTATAGTTTATTATAAATCCTATAGTCTGCATGATCTACATCTCTAATCCTGCTCAACACCTAAACCCAACTGCTATTTTAGTAGTTATTATTAATAGTAACTTATTGGTTAATATTAAAAATCAGCAAGGTAAGCATTTATTGAGTTAAAAGTCATAGTTAAGGATTTATTAACATTGAGACTTGCACATTTAAATTCAGTGTAACCCATTATTCTATTAAACGTCATTCAGAATCATTTATTCGTGTTTATGTTGGCCCAAACATGGCTTTTATTCTCATGTGCATTTCCAGAGAGCGTGAATTATATAGCCAGAGGTATGTCTGGATATTTTACATGTGAAAAAATAATTCTGTGTTGCGGTATGATGGTGTCCCACAGTCCAAACACATGCGCTGTAGGTGAATCGAATAAGCTAAGTTGACCATAGTGTATGAGTGTGAATGTGAGAGTGTATGGGTGTTCCCCAGTACTAAGTTGCAGTTGGAAGGGCATCTGCTGGGTAAAACATATGCTGGAATAGTTGGCAGTTCATTCTGCTGTGGATACCCCTGATAAATAAAAGGACTAAGCCGATGGAAAATTAATGAATATGATGTAGTCACGTATGGAATTGAGTGAGGATGAATAAATCAATGTTTACTCTCTTTCTTTCTTCTATCATTCCCAACCTTTAATATTCTCGTTGCTTTGCGTTTTATATCTTTATTCAATCACAACAATCTTAAGTGCGGATGTTTTTAAACCATTCAATAACACTTTATGTCCCCGCCAATATTCTGAATGTTTATAAATATTGATAAGCAGTGACTCTACCTCATTAAACACATGTATATATGTCTGTATCCTGACATCGTAACACACACAGACCACAGATCAGTTACAGTAAATGGAGTAAAAAAGGTTGAATAAACGCGGCGGAGGCTTTCCTGCAAACACACTCGGCCGTCTCAGACCTGTTGTAAATATTTAGTGATGGTTTTCTGGAGAGCCGCAGTGTGTGTGTGTGTGTGAGAGGTCAGATGACTCTACAGTGACCCTGCGTCTGCTTGATTTCCCCCTGGTCACCGACCGCAGCTGTTTCTGTCTGTTTCTGAATGGTGGAAAGTGAACTGAAAAACTGAAATCTCACTCTAGTAAAAGTAGCATTGCTTGGGGGAAATGAGTGTAACAGTCTCTGCTGTAAACACTACTTAAAGTATGAGTAAAAGAAGCCCTAAATGTACTAATGTGTAGTGAGTACTGGGAGTACTTTCTTTTAAGGGTGAAGCCATAGCGTTTGTTTTAAAGATAAAATGCTGCCCCACATGGCTCTGTCTACAAACTCCAGAAATGTGTTAACAATATTTCTTGCGATATAAAATTTACATCCGAGGCTGATTATGGATAAGTACCCCTGTCCACATTTCTGGAGAGTGCAAAATACATCCCACGAGGTACATTTTTGTAGTTTTTGTTTCTGCAAATCAAAAAATAACGTATATTAAATTACAGAAATTTATAGTAAAATAACGTATTTTAAATTACCGAAATTTACTGCAAAATAACGTATATTAAATTAAAGAAATTTACTGCAAAATAACGTATATTAAATTATAGAACTTTACCAGAAAATAACATGTATTAAATTACAGAACCTTACTGTAAAATAACATTTATTAAATTACTGAAATTTACCATAAAATAATGGATATTAAATTACAGAAATTTACCGTAAAATAACGGATATTAAATTACAGAAAGTTACCGTAAAATAACGGATATTAAATTGAAGAACTTTACTGTAAAATAACGGATATTAAATTACAGAAAGTTACCATACAATAACATGTATTAAATTACTGAAATTTACCGTAAAATAACGGATATTAAATTACAGAACTTTACCGTAAAATAACGAATATTAAATTACAGAAAGTTATTGTAAAATAACGTAAAGTAAATTACAGAAATTTACCGTAAAATAATATATATTAAATTACCAAATTTACTGTAAAATAACGTATATTAAATTACAGAAAGTTACCGTAAAATAACGTATATTAAATTACAGAAATTTTTACTGTACAAAAACGTATATTAAATCACAGAAATTTACTGTAAAATAACGGATATTGAATTACAGAAATTTATCGTAAAATAATGTATGTTAAATTGCAGAAATTTACTGTAAAATAACGGATATTAAATACAGAAATTTACTGTAAAATAAAGTATTATAAATTACAGAAATTTACCGTAAAATAATGTATAATAAATTACAGAAATGTACCGTAAAATTACAAATATTAAATTACAGAAAGTTAATGTAAAATAACAGATATTAAAATAGAGAAATATTTTAATATCCATTATTTTACAGTAAATTTCTGTAATTTAATGGCTGTTATTTTACTTTTTTTATGGCTCTCCAGCTGCTGGAAAGAGCCGTAAAGTTATGGATTTTTTTTTTCAGTGTAGGGTGGCTTGCTGCACAGCTTTTTAAAAGTTGTCTCCCCGTGTTGGTGTGGGTTTCCTCCGGGTGCTCCAGTTTCCCCCACAGTCCAAACACATGCACTATAGGGGAACTGATCAACTAAACTGGTCGTAGTGTATGAGTGTGAATGAGAGTGTATAGTTGTTTTCCAAAACTGGGTTGCAGCTGGACGGGAATCCGCTGTGTAAACATATGCTGGAATAGTTATTGGTTCATTCCACTGTGGAGATTCCTGATAAATAAGGGAGTAAGTCGAAGGATAATGGATGATTGAGTGTTGATGATTATAAACCACTATGAGTGAAACTTCAAAACACCATGCGTCTGAAGTCAATGGCGATGTGTTCCAGTAAGCATGTTGATTCCTAAGCCCTGGTGGTTTGTCAGTGTTTCATTCCTGAACATGTGTGTGTTTGTGTGTGTCGTGGAGTCGTCTTCTTCAAGACTCTTGGCTTCCTCTGACTCTTTCTGTCTCTCTGGAGATTTATGTCTCTGTTTGTAGATCCAGCATGATTTCCATATGTAGAACATGTATTACTGACTGACACAGGTCGAGCTTGAGAATGCACACACACACACACACACACACACACACACACACACACAAACACACATATATATATATATATATATATATATATATATATATATATATATATATATATGCACACACAAATACATGCAAACACACACCCAAATAAACATGAAAATGCACAATCATGCATAAACACACACAAATACAAACATATGCAAACACAAACACAAAATATAGACTCAAACACACACACACACACACACAATTAAACACACACACATATATACATGCAAATGCACAAACATGCGCACACACACACAAATATACAAACAAATGTACACACATGTATAGATAAACACACACATACACACACACACACACACATACAAATATTCACATATGCACACACAATTATACATGCAAACACACACATAAACACACTCACACAAAAATGCACACACACACAAACAATTCTACAAACAAACACACGCAAACAAACACACCCACACACATATACAGACACAAACACTAACGTACATACACATGAACAAACATGCATGCACACACAGAAATATATACACAAACACACAAACTATACACGCACATACACAAACACAAATATGCGCACACAAAAACACACAAGCAAACACACACAAATGTACACACACATCTTGGCAAAATATTCTAATATTCTGTGTGTGTGTGTGTGTGTGTGTGTGTGTGTGTGTGTGTGTGTGTGTGTGTGTGTGTGTGTGTGTGTGTTTGTCCTGCAGGCGTGTCCAGGTGCTGCAGTAAACTCCAGGGCTGATCAGTGCTCCGCCTTCAACGCTCAGGAGTTCATGGGTCGTGTGTACGACTGGGAGCCCTTCACTGAAGGTCAGAAGCGCAAACTGCAACAACACACACTGTTACACACACAGCTGAAGTCACAATTACTCACCCTTCTGTGACTTTTGTATTGAAATTTTTCCCTTATTATGTTGAACAGATTCAGGGATATTTTGTTCTTCTGGAGAAAGACTTATTTGTTTTATTTTATCTAGAATATAACCAGTTTTAATTGTTTTAAACCACTTTAAGGTACATTAGCTTATTGATAACTGATCATATTGATACTAACATGTATATAATATATATATATATGACATCTTAATGACTTCAATTCTGCAGACTTTCCCGCACATGTATAATATGTGCAAAATGTGGCTCTGCTTCCCTTCAGCCTGACCTGGCCTTAAACAGTGAGCGAGTCTGTAGCTCAGACCTTCAGATAAGCCAGAATAAAGGCGGTTTTCAGAGTCTGTGAATGAGCTGAGGAATAAAAACACAAAGTAGACATAGAGTGAATGGAGGAGGAGGAGGAGGGGTCAGGGCTATTACTGTACCAGCATTACAGAGTCTTTGTGTTACTGACGCACACAGAAAGAAAAACACACAGTTAAAAACAGAGTTATAAAGACTTACGCTATAAATCAGCCATCAGAAAGAGACAGAGCGACTTATATTGGGGAAACTAGATGAGGGGGCGGAGTCTCAGAGGTCGAGGAGCCATGGTAATCAATGAAACATCTCCAGGTCTTTTAGCTTAGCTTAGCTTAGCATAATTCATTGAATCTGATTAGACCATTAGCATTTAAAAAAAGGATGTTTCAATTTGTTTTCTATATAAAGCTTGACTCTTCTGGAGTTAAATTGCGTATTTACCCCACATGGGAAATGAAAGGTTTTCTAGGCTGATATGGTTGGAATTACACTCTCTGTCTTACATAATAAACAAGAAACTTTACAACGGGTCCAGCAGGGTTATAGCAGAGCTCCGCTAAAAATCAATCAGAAAGAGAAAGAGCGACTTATATTGGGGAAACTGGATGAGGGGGCGGAGCCTCAAAGGTCAGGGAGTCATGGCAACCCGCTAAAACATGTCGATCTCTAGGTCTTTTAGCTTAGCTTAGCATAATTCATTGAATCGATTTAGACCATTAGCATCTCAAAAATGTCGAAAGAGTTTCAGGATGTTTGTCTATATAAAACTCAACTCTTCTGGAGTTACATTGTGTACCAAGACTGACGTAAAATTAAAAGTTGCTATTTTACAATCTGTCACTTTTAGCTTAGCTTAGCATAATCCATTTAATTGGATTAGACCATTAGCATCTCAAAAATGACGCAAGACTTTTTACTATGTTTTTTATTTAAATTTCAACTCTTCTTGGGTTATTTTGTGTACTAAAACTGACAGAAATTAAATGTTGCTATTTTATAGTATGATATAACTGGAACTACACTTTCATTCTGGCGTAATAAACAAGAAACCTTTCTGTCTTACCATGACTCCAGCAGCTCAATGATATTACAAGTGGTTAACCCTTGTGATGGATAATTTTGAGTTACAGACGGACGGGGAAAGTTAAAAGCAGAGTTATAAACACAGAGCTCTGCTATAAATAAAGAGAAAGAGCAACTTATATTGGGGAAACTGGATGAGGGGGCGGAGTCTCAGAGGTCAGGGAGTCATGGCAACCCACTGAAACATGCTGCTGTTCAGGACTGATGGACAAATGGACGGAGGGATGGATGAAAGCCTCTGTGAATGAGAATAAAGGGGAAAAGCCCTGAATAGTAAGTGAGAGGCTTGAAAACAGGGGAAGTGAGGACAGACGGTGCTGAAGTGACACTCAATCTAGTGTTGAGCAGAGAGAGAGAGAGAGAGAGAGAGACTGAAGCATGTATGAGCTGCTCTCTCAGACACAAGCTGTGCTTCTTTATGCATTTTCCTCTGGCATAGATGCTTTATTCAACAGAGGTCGCCACAGCGGAATGAACCGCCAACTATTCCAGCATATGTTTTACACAGCGGATGCCCTTCCAGCTGCAGCCCAGAACTGGGAAACATTCATTCACACACACACACATACACTACGGTCAATTTAGTTGATCAATTCCCCTATAGCGCATGTGTTTGGACTGTGGGGGAAACCGGAGTAGAGGTCTGCCTTCCCGCAGTACAGCGGTACAGCCTAATTTGCGGGACCTAATTTATTTAATTTGTGGCACCTAATTTATTTAATTTGCTGGACTTAATTTATTTAATTTGCGGGACTTGTTTTATTTAATTTGCGGGACTTAATTTATTTAATTTGCGGGACTTAATTTATTTAATTTGCGGGACTTAATTTATTTAATTTGCGGGACTTAATTTATTTAATTTGCGGGACCTAATTTATTTAATTTGCATGACTTAATTTATTTAATTTGCGGGATTTAATTTATTTAATTTGCGGGACTTTATTTATTTAATTTGCAGGACTTTATTTATTTAATTTGCGGGACTTAATTTATTTAATTTGCGGGACTTAATTTATTTAATTTGCGGGACTTAATTTATTTAATTTGCGGGACTTAATTTATTTAATTCGCGGGACTTAATTTATTTAATTTGCATTACTCAATTAATTCAATTTACGGGACCTAATTTTTTTAATTTGCGGGACTTAATTTATTTAATTTGCGGGACTTAATTTATTTAATTTGCAGGACTTAATTTATTTAATTTGCGGGACTTAATTTATTTAATTTGCGGGACCTAATTTATTTAATTTGCGGGACTTAATTTATTTTTTTTTATACTTTCAGTGCAACCTTCCTACTTTAGGGTGACCACTGAGCCACCGTGGCGTCACATTTATTTATTTTTTTTACAGATTTTCAAAAGCATCCAGACAAAAATGCAGACGTCGCCCTCCAGAAATGCATTCGACACACACCTATTGACGAACATCTCCGTCATGACAGCGTGTGTTTGACTGCGCCACACCTACAGCTCTGTCCTGGCTTGTGTTTTTCCCGGTCATTTGGGAAGTGTGTGTTGGCCGTCTTCTCGCTACACGATCTCTGAATCACTCAGGCATTCCTCGATAATAAGTCACTGGGATAAAGGCATTTGCTGAGTGGATTCATCAGTTCAGTTATCCTTAAACAAACACACATCGGATCTGAAAGCACACATTCGACTGTACACACTGTCAAATAATATCCGTAAATGAGCTGTTTTCCATATTTTTTGATTCAAGTTTTTATTTTACAATATGTTTCTGCTTTTGAGCAGACCTGTGGCCTCATGTAAAGACTTGCGTTAGATTCATACTAAACCATTGCGTATGGACAAAGCTGTAAATGTGCGTACGCAGTACAAAATTCAGATGCATGAAACACTGCGCACGCCGAATCCCTCACATATTCTCTTTGTACATCCGAATTAACGTGAAACTGAGCGCACGTGCACGAGCACAAAACCCCTCCCTGACTCCTCCCCTGTATAAATATGGTAATGACTCCACTTTGGCAGAGTGGAGTGGTTTTGTTTTTATGTGTGTGTGTGTGTGCTTGTCTGTTTTTTTTTGTGTGTTTGTGTGCGTGTATTTGTTTGTGTGTGAAGTGTGTGTGGGAACAGGGGGGTAGGAAGGTGTGTGTTTGTGTGTGTGTGTGTTTATGCATGTGCCTGTGTGTGTTTATCTTCTTCTTTGTGTCTGTGTGAGTGTGTGTATGTTCCTGTGTGTGTGTGTGTGTGTGTGTGTGTGTGTGTGTGTGTGTGTGTGTGTGTGTGTGTGTGTGTGTGTATGTGTGTTTGTGTGTGTGGTTGGGTGGATAGATGTGTGTGTGTGTTTGTTTGTATGTGTGTGTGTGCCTGTGTCTGTCTTTTTTATGTGTGTGTAATAGATAATGCGGTTGCGTGTGCATAGTTGTATCTGCATGTGTGTGATAGATAGTATTTATGTGGGTAAAAGTGTGTGTGTGTGCGTATGAAAATGTGTGTTTATAGATGTGTGTGTGCTTGTGGATACTGTATGTCTGTTTTTGTGTGCCTTTGTTGTTGTTGTTGTTGTTGTTGTTGTGTGTGTGTGTGTGTGTGTGTGTAGTGTGTCCATGTATAGTGTTGTGTGTGTGTGTGTAGTGTGTGTGTGTGTGTGTGTATTGTGTCTATGTGTATTGCAGTGTATGAGTAGTGTGTCCATGTATAGTGTAGTGTGTGTGTGTGTAGTGTGTGTGTGTGTGTATTGTGTCCATGTGTATTGCAGTGTATGTGTAGTGTGTCCATGTATAGTTTAGTGTGTGTGTGTGTGTGTGTGTGTGTGTGTGTGTGTGTGTGTGTGTGTGTGTGTGTGTGTGTGTGTGTGTGTGTGTGTGTGTGTGTGTGTGTGTAGGAGGTATAAGAATGTTCTGGATCTATTGGAAGTAACAATGTCATGGGTTCCAGCAGTTTTGTGAGATGATGTTGGACAGAACTTCAGGGCTTAGGCTGTGTGTGTGTGTTTGTGTTTTGGGGGGTGGGGTGTGTGTGTGTGTGTGTGTGTGTGTGTGTGTGTTGTCCCTGGGAGATCATTATTTTGGCTGGCTCGACTCTAAAGATCGTTATGTGATAATATGTGTGTGTGTGTGTGTGTGTGTGTGTGTGTGTGCGTGTGTGTGTGTGCAGTAATTGTTCCTGTATGCCGCTGCTGTTCAGTTGTGTGTATGGTTTGGCGTGTTCTCTGTGTGCCAGGGGGTTTATAAGACAAAGCTGACTGAAATGTGGAATAGTGTCATTATCCGCGGCCCTTGTGTCCCAAAACCAAGGAGAGAGCGAGATTTCATTACTCACAGAAAAAGACATTGAGTGAAAACCTTAATATCCTTCCTAGAGTTCTTCTGCATTCATAAGAGTTCAAGAGAGAAATATTGAATGCTTTTAGCAAGTCAGTGTCTTTTAAATGTTGTGGAAAGTGTACAATTATCCAATCAAAAGCTGACTTCATTGCCCACGTGGGTAATGACGGTGATACCTGGAGAGGCGTGATTGGGAGGAGCAGCCTTCCTGATCTGAATGCGTAGTGTTCTGT